GTGGGTACATATTTTAATTTATTGATGTAAAACAAAAAAAATCTTAAAATGAGAAATTTCTGGAAAATTTAGGCAAATTATTATGTCATATAAAATTGTGCATATGGGATCAAATTCCCTACAACTTATAGAACATTGAAAAATTGAAAAAAAAAAAATCAAAATGCTGCTAGCTACACCGATATATGTTGAACTAAGGAGTATAATTAGAAGATTTAATCCTTCGTATGTTAGCATCTGCTCAAGCACTGTTAAGAGTAGAAGTCTGTTTTCACTCTCCAAAGAAACATTGTTGATGAAACCCAATTATTCGCATCCAGCTTGTCAAATCCCATGGCAGGCTCCTTTTATAAATTTTTACATTGCTAAGTAATACAATCATTCATGAAGGCAGACTAGCTTTTACGTTGTTGAAGTTGATTATATGTAATAAAAACTAGGCCATTGATTAGTTATAGTACGTAATTTATGTTTGTTCACCACTGCCCTCTGTCGGCCACTCTTGTACTTCCCATTTTCTAATGCCTTCACAATCACATTCATGCCTACCTTACTATCATTTCTTCTCTATCAACAATTAATATCATATATATGCAATTTGACCTATCTCTAAATATAATATATATATATATATATAATCAAAAGAAAGCAGGCATAAATTCAGGTATGTACCACAAAGGTATCACCAATATCAATAACAAAGGAGTTAGGAACAGGTGAAACAGTATGCCATTTATCGTGGGTAAAATTTTTCAATCCGCAGACATGGTCTTGGTGGAACAGAGTGACTGAAGTTGGATCACAATGTGGTCGTGTGGCAAGGACTTCAGTGGGCACTTGGCAATAGGTGTGAAGTATAGATTAACTCTTCTGTTAGTTTAATTATAACAATATTCATTTATCTATCTATTACCATTCTGATTCTTTTTAATTGTTACTTCTATGAAGGAATTTTAGTCTTTTTTATTTGTCACTTGTACTATTTTTAATGCTTTATTTCTAATTCTGCCCCTATTAATCAAGAGAGACAAATGTAAAGGTGAAGATAGAGGGAATGGATGAGAAAAAATTAATAAGGGTAAAAGTGAAAGATTTTAGGGAAAATGACAATAAAATACCACTTGAATTCCAAAAAGACAAATAAGGGACCTGAATAAGCAAAATGACAAATAGGGCACTGGGTACCAATCTGGAATTTTGATTTTTGATGTCAAAACATGTTGCAAAACCCATTGACAAAGTAGTAACTCTCACTATGAAAGTTGTAAATCCCACTATGTGTTTTGTAAAATTCAGCGTGGAATTGTATTGTTTTTTACAGAAAAGTTGCCTAACCCCTCAAAACAGGTTGTAAAAGCCATTGACTAAGTAGTAATTCTCATTATGAAAGTTGTAAATCCCACTATGTGTTTGTAAAATTAGGCAAAACTTGCTCGGCCCTTCAAAACAGGTTGTAAAACCCATTGACGAAGTAGTACTCTCACTATGAAAGTTGTAAATCCCACTATGTGTTTTGTAAAATTCAAAATCAAAATCCCATATTAGTACCTGATGCCTTCTTTGTCATTTTGCTTATTCAGGTCCCTTATTTGTCTTTTTGGAATTCAAGTGGTATTTTATTGTCATTTTCCCAAGATTTTATGATTTAATGATCTTCTTAGTAAGTGAGAAAATATACAATTGACAATTAAAAAGGATCGGAGCGGTAGTTTGTTATGTAAATTGTCTCAGGTTATAAATACTTGATGTTCATTAATCCAATACGATAATTTTTATATCAATTGGCCGCTTAAAAAATTCACCTATTTGCTCGTAAACCGTCTTGATCAAAGATCATTAACACCATGGTCGATCACCATGGAGAAACCATGGGCTGAGCAAGCATATATCTCTTACAAGCTCCTTCCATGACTCCTTTGAGATCTATAATTGGCACTTCTAACTCATCTTGAGCCCCCACCAAGTACTCCTTCGAACATAAAAAGTTTTTGGAAAGGTCAAGCTTTTTCCCATCCTTAGAGGGATCAAACACAGCTTCTCCTACTTGTTTCTTCTGCACGTTCTTTTGTTGGCACAACATCACACTAGAATCCATTTTTCCTTTTGTGTTATGACATACGCATATATAACACTATAGCATTGAGCTTCTTATGAAGACGTGAAGCTAGTAAGGTTTAAATCTTGCATGTTGTGTAATTTAAACTTCCTTACGCAAGTTCATGCATATATTCTGATATTAGAATGTATAGTCAATGGTTCATCACCATCAATTCTTCACGTCCAAGTGCACCCATTAGTAGCAAAGCTAATATGATGGACATTCACCAATATTAGTCCATTCATTGAGCAATGTATCCTACATGCATGAAGTTCATGAATCAACATTATAATGTTGAATGAATAAAGGATAAAAGACATTATGAATGGGAACAAATACATGTATGCTCCACATGATACTCCTATATACCTCTCAAAGATCATTGAATCACGGCTAACGTTAATAATACGTACATGTTGTTTGAAGTTGGAGCTGGGATTTCCCTCACCACTATCACATCTGATATTCCAGATATCGACTAAGCATGAGGATTAAGGGCATTTATGGGTTAAGTAAAATTTTACAATTCAAGTTAAGGTAAAGTATGTGAGAACAGTCCGGTTGGGGCAAAAGCATAATTTTAAAAAGGTATGGAACGAAAAGAATAATTATAAAAAAGTTCCATAAATTCAAGAAAAATAGGAAAAATATTTCTGGTATTTTTAGGGGTAGAAAGGGGTATCAAAGGTGAAACTACCTCAAAAACAATTTATTGGAATAAAAAAACCTATTTTTTTGGCTAATTAAGTGTATTAAATCAAAATGGAAAAACTCAAAAATATGCATTGAGCCCAAATAATTTGAGAAACGCGGGAAATAACTACTTGAGGATTGGAAGGAATTTCTGGATGAATTACATTAGTTTTATTGTCTAGGATTTGCCCAAAAGAATTAAAAATAACTATTAGAAAATGCTTTGAGTTTAAAGGAAACTGAATTAAATTAAAGGCTCCCAAGAGATGAGAGAGAGAGGGAACCCGACGCCGTCACTGGAGGAGAAGGACCCCCTCAAGCGAAGCCGGAAGAAGGTTCGAGCGGATGTAGTTGAGTTTATGTGTGGACAAAAGCTGGTTCCTCGTGATGAGGAATGGATGCATGACGAGACCTTGGAGGAGGCTGAGGAGAACAACCAGGGGGGAAGGCTCGGAGACTTCAAGTTTGAAGTGGAAATCATTTAAACATGCGGTTATGAATGAGAATGAAGACAGCGAAGTAGAGGAAGATTGGTGGAGCGAAGGTCGGTGGAAGGAAAGAATCTCTGTTGCAATGACAGAAAGGGGTCCAAACGTTATTATACCCCCTGAGGAGAAGTAGAGGCTTGCGAAACGATGGAAGAATGCTTTAATCGTGAAGTTAATAGGTAGAATGGTGAACCCTGATTATCTCGAAACTAAGGTGAAGTAGTTGTGGGCGAAACAAGGAGAGGTGGAAACGATAGATGTAGGCTCGGGTTTTTTCGTCGTGCAATTCACAAAAACACCGGACTATGATCTGGCCTTGACTGGGGGGCCTTGGTTACTCTATGACCACTATCTAGCGGTGCAACCTTGGAAGCAAGATTTTGAGCCAGAAGAGGAACGGATTACAAAGGTTGCTGCATGGATCAGGATTGACAAGCTATCATTAGATTACTATGATCAAGGTATATTGCATGTCTTAGGATCTCAGGTGGGAAAAGTGCTCAAGATGGATATGACTACGCTTAAGCGAAAGAAAGGTCGATTTGCACGGTTGTGTGTGGAATTGGATTTGAGTGCACTGCTTCGGTCATTAATCCTTATAAATGGCAAGGCAAAGAGGGTGCAGTATGAAGGTATCCATCTGATTTGCTTTTGATGCGGACGGTATGGGCATGATGAAGACCATTGCCCCTATAAACAACAGAACGTCACAAATGTGCAAAGCCAATGCTCAGGGGGGAGACGGCCGAGGAGTTGGCGAAGAAGGATGGGGGTTGGGGTGCCATGGAGGAAGGTCAGCAGGGCGAAAACCTATCAGAAGAGGTGGCAGGAAAAATCTATGACAATTAGATGGTGGTGCAGCGGCCGCGACGGCCGACGCGGTTCGCTCATCGGACGGTAACCCTTAATGAAGGTAGGTGGGATTCTAGGCTGCAAGGAGGGAGTGGTTCTCGCTTCCAGGCATTGAATGTGGAGCATAATAAGGGAGTTAATGGTGGATCCCAACAAGTTAGCGAGAAAAGTCCGCTCGGGAATATTTCGAATCTAGTTCCTAATATACCATTTCAAAGACAGGGCTTAGAAAATAAAGGGAAGATGAGTAGGCCAATGAGAAAGTCTATGGGAAACGGGATTAAAGCTAAAGAAGTGAATAACAAGGGAGAACGCACTAATGGTAGGTCCAAGTCTCAGGAAGTGGAGTCGAGTGACATATTTACCCTCATGCGGGCAAAGGAGAGGTTGGGCTTGGAGAACGAAGTTGAGAGGGAGGGAGAGAAAGAGAATGGAATGGACCAACCTATAAGAAAAATAATAGAAGGGGAGTCTAGTGAATCAAGAAACGGAAACACTCAGACCCCAAAACCTGTCGGCACCGTAATGGTAGAAGACATAGAAACAGCGGGGAACCCGATAGATCCTGGTGCAATGCAGGCGGGGAATTTCTTCGTTCACTCGAATCCGTTGTCGGCTGACCAAAGTGGTATACTATGATGGACCTGGGTCATACCTAGGATGAGACTTTGCAGTAGTCGGGCTCTTTTTCTTTCCTTATGCTGTTTGTTATGATGAATACCAATATTATAGTGTGGAATTCGAGAGGTGTTGGAGGGAAGGCCTTTCCGAGGCTCCTCAATGAATTGCGCAGGAAGTATGATGCGAAGTTTATAGCTATACTAGAACCAAGGTAGGGGAGAGCAAAAGCAGAGTCTCTGGCACGTCAAATGGGTTTACTTAAGCTGGAAGTGGTAGATACAACGGGATTTAGTGGAGGGATATGGTGTTTTTGGGACAAAGAGGTAGATTTTATAGTGACCCAGAAGTTGTCACAAGTGTTACATGGCTCGTTCAATATAGGCAAAACAAGTGCTTGGGATCTTTCTATAGTCTATGGTCACCCGAATAGGATTAAGCGGCGCTCCCTTTGGGAAGAACTTCAGCACATATATGCTACTGGTGTTGGAAAATGGTGTGTGGCTGGAGATTTCAATGCCACGTTGCGGGGCAATGAACGAGTACCTATGAACAAAGGCCTGAATGGTGCTGACAAATCCTTTGTTGATTGGGTTCGAGGTTGTTATTTGAATGAAGTTGATTTCCAAGGTCCACGTTTCACGTGGAGCAGGGGGAATTCGTACAGCAGAATAGATCGCGTTCTTGCTAACTCTGAGTGGTTCGAGACCTTTACTGACGCCTCGATCTTGCACCTGCCCAAATTAAAATCTGACCACTGCCCTCTACTGGTAAAAGTGAACAGACAACGCAGAAGTAGGAGCAAGACAAACCACTTTCGCTTCTTTGCCCCTTGGGTTACCCATGAGGGCTTTAATGATGTTGTGAGAAATGCCTGGAGAAGCTCCAATAGCTGGGAAGCTAACATGGGAAACTGCAAAGAAGACGTGCTGGAGTGGAATCGCTCAGTGTTCGGAAATATTAATAGAAGGAAGGCAAAGTTACTAGCGAAACTAGATCGGCTAAATAAGCAAGATGCTAGAAGCACCCTTTTGGAGCGAAAACGGCAGGAAACTTGGGAGGATTTGGAAAGATGTCTAATTCAGGAAGAGATTATGTGGCTTTAGCGTTCAAGGTGCAACTGGTATGTCAATGGCGACAAGAATACACGATATTTCCATACAGTCACTAATTATCGACGACGTAAAAAAACAATTGAGGCGCTGCAAGACGAGAATGGAAATTGGAGCTATGATCCAGACTTACTGAAGAGAGCAGGAACCAGATTCTTTCAGGAGTTGTACCATGGTGAGGCTACGTACTCTAATTCTGTTAACTTGGGGAGATGCTTTCCTACTGTTTAGACTAGTTGCTTGGAAATGCTAGATTCAAATATTACTAGACAGGAAGTCAAACTAGCGGTGTTTAGTATGGGGGCGTTGAAGGCTCCAGGACCAAACGGATTGAATCCGCTTTTTTTCCAAAGTCAATGGGAAGTGGTAGGGAATACAGTTGTAGACATGGTTCGCGATATTTTTTCCAACCCGACAGAAGTGAAGAGAATAAACAACACGAATATCACTATTATTCCTAAAGTGGATTCTCCACAGACGTTTAAGGACTTCTGGCCAATCAGCCTGTGTAATGTGGTGTATAAAGTGATTACTAAGATTCTTGCTAACAAACTAAAGAGAATTATGCCTAAAATTATAGCCCCAAACTAGTGTAGTTTCGTACCCGGACAGTAAAGTTCTGATAATATTATCTTGGCACAGGAAGTTATTCACTCTATGAGGAATTTGAAGCGGAAGAAAGGATTTATGGCGTTGAAAATTGACCTAGAGAAAGCTTATGATAGGATTCACTGGGACTTTGTGATCCAATGCTTGAGAGAGCTAAAGATCCCAGACAGATTTTTGAACCTCGTCTACCATTGTATTACTTCAGCTGAAATGCAGATTATTTGGAATGGGTCTAGGGGGTATTCATTTACTCCAAGCCGCGGAATTAGACAAGGTGACCCCTTATCACCATATATTTTTGTACTAGTGATGGAGAAACTCGCTCACCTGATCCAAACCGAAGTGGAACTCGGCAACTGGCTCCCTTTTAAACTGAATAAAAATGGCACAGAAATCTCTCATTTGTTTTTTGCAGACGATTTAATACTTTTTACGGAGGCAAGCATGGAGCAAGCTGGGGTTATTAAAGCCTGCTTAGATGACTTCTGCTCGGCAACAGGAGAAAAAGTAAATGAGGCTAAGTCAAGGATTTTCTTTTCATCAAACGTGAACCACACGCGAAGGAATGAGATTAGTGGATTTCTCGGCTTTACCCCCATTGCAGATTTGGGGAAGTACTTGGGGGTCCCCTTACATCACCAACGGGTCACTAAACAGATGTATCAATACGTGTTAAACAAAATGGATAACAGATTGTCAAGCTGGAAGGCGAACGCTTTATCGATGGCAGCTAGGCATACTTTGGTGTCTTCAGTAGTGGCGGCAATTTCGTCATACACCATGCAATCAATGATGATGCCTGCTGGTGTTTTAGACGAAATTGACAAACGAGCTACGAATTTCCTCTAGGGCAGTACAGGTTTGGTGAAAAAAATTCATCTGGTCGCGTGGTGTAAAAACCCTCTACCTCAAGACATTTTAACCCATCATAAAACCTCTACTATGGTAGAAAAGGAGAGCTGTTAAAACGAGCTACCATAGTAGAAGGAAAATTTCATATTTTTAGAAATTGACTTTCAAGCTCGGGTCAACCCGTAAGACGTTGCATGCAACTAAAATAATCCATTCATATACATCTACTGGGCCTCCGAGCCTCCGGCCTGGGTAACAACAAACATCACATCAGCCCATCTAGATGATTCCCAACCAAATAATCCAGAGTTCATAAAACACTAGCAATGGCCTCCGGCCAACCAAAATAAGGAGATACATTCTCTCCAGTTTACAACAAGGCCGGGTAATCAAATATATCAAAAAGTAGTCCTAACTGTGGCAATATATACTAGTCATACATATACAAATGCTAGAGGCCTAAAGCTAACCAAGCTCAAGCCTCTGCGTCTCTTCCCGATGGCCCACGCCTGGAACCTTCACCTGAAAACATTGTAAACCACGGGGTGAGACAAAGTCTCAGTAACCAACCTTTCCAATACTAGGTACTACTAAATAGGTGCTCGTGAGGTGTCAAGTAGGGCAGTTCACAAACAATATAAAACGATAGCCACAACAATTCATGTAAGTGCAATGATGCAATCCCATCAACCAAATCCCTCACTTTGGGGGATTTTCAGGAGCCGAAGCCGGCCTATCCCTCACTATGGGGGACGTAAGGAGCCATAAAAGGCCTATCCCTCACTCTGGGGGACGTAGGGAGCCAAAAGGCCTATCTCTCACTATGGGGGACGTACTAAGCCAACCATCATGCATTAATGGAGGCCTTACCACGTGGTAGTAACAGACAAAACTCTCACCAATTCCCAATTAATGCATCATGCTCAAATCATAATCAAAGAGTAATAATCATTTCACAATTAACCTCATTCAATGGCATATCCTTCACAATTTCAAGATTTCATTCATCATCAATTAAAAACCCCACAAGACGGTTTTCCCTTTTTATATACAACATACAGTTCGAACATAATTACTACTTAAAGCACAAAACACAAATCTATTCACAATACCACAGAAGCAAGTACTAAGGATTGGAAAGTGGTTACCTCTCGCCTGAGCAAGGAACAACAAACCAACGATGTGGCCCCGTGCACCACCAAGACTCACAACCGGTCTACACAAGCACACAAACACACAACCATCATATATTAGCTTTCAAACTAATAATGTGGTCAACACAACACTTGGGGACACAAAATTCCTATCTCCCATCAAAACTCTACCCAACTCAAAGGGTATATCTATCAAGGCAACACTCCAAAGTCATACCAATCCATTAACACCTTAATTCCTTTCCAAACATCAATTAAGATTCACAACCTCAAGGACCCACTATGGAATTCTACACCCAAACATCCCATTTGAGCAATTAAGGTTCCAACAACAATTCTAAACCGATTATACATCCAATTTAACCCTCCTTAACATAACCCAATTCACAAAACCCACAATCAATCTCTACATTGTCATCCTCAATCCCAAATCATCCAATTCCATAAACCCTAGCTCCAAAAATTCAAGATTCTTTAAATCCAAGGAAACTACACCGATTAAATACTTAAACTAACCCAATGCAATCAATTAAACTCAAAACAATCGGTCAAAAACCTCAATTCCATCACAACTTAGAAAATCCTAGGGTTCCACCAAAAATCCTCAGAAATTCCAAGAAATTCCAATAAAGAAAGAAGATTAGAGGTTAAAATCACTTACTTGAGGTAATGGATCCTTAGAAATGCCCCCTCCAAGCCAAAATACCGAAACCCTAGCAGAGCCTCTCTCTCTACCTCAGATTTTCTTATTTTTCGCACGCTGAACTGCTCCCGCGAATATATAGATTCGCGACCTTTCGCCGCGGCGAACCAATCCCGAGAGGGATTACTCGCCTGAAAACTTGACTTCGCTGCGGCGAACCCCAATCTTCGCCGCGGCGAAAGCTTCCCGAGAGGAAACTCTCGCTCGCCCAGAAAACATTCGCCGCGGCGAAACCTTCCCGAAAGGGAAGCCTCGCTCACCCGAACAACTTCGCCGCGGCGTCCCCAAGACTTCGCCGCGGCCAAACCTTCCCGAGAAGACACTCCCCTCTGAAACTCCCGGTGCGCCGCGGCGAACATACCCTGAGAGGAGTACGTTCATCTATTCCTCCAACATACCTCAAATTCAACCCAAACACCAAGATCAAGATTAAATTGCTAATCCATCCTCAAAATCAACCAAAAGAAGCTATTAAAACCCGATAAAACTCAGGATGTTACACGTGGGATGATGTTTGCAGAAGTAAAGAAGAGGGAGGCCTTGGGCTTCGGAGTGCACGGAAGCAGAACAAGGCTTTCATGATGAAATTGGGATGGGTTTGGTAAATCGAAGAGAGACTCTTTGGGTGAAGCTTATGTGGGAGAAATACAAGTGCGGTAATGACGTACTTCCAACAATTAGCAGGAAGAAGGTTGAGTCACAGGCTTGGAAAGGTGTTAGGCAAACGTGGGGTCTAACAGAAAAGTGTATTGGTTGGAAGCTTGGCGATGGTAGTAGGATTAGGTTTTGGGAGGATTGTTGGATCCCAAACCATGAGAAAGTTTTGCAGTTTGCTATCCGGGAAGTCCCAGAGAGTATGCGGGAGGATCGCGTCACTACCTACGTGTCCGATTCTGGTACTTGGGAGTGGCAGAAGTTTGCAGAATTTCTACTGAACACAATCTTGAACACCATAAACCAAACTTATCCCTACGTACGCGGGGAGTCCTGTGATAGACCGGTCTGGAAAGGGTCGAGCAATGGAGAGTTCTCAGTTAAAGCCACGTATAGTATGCTAAGTGGTGAGAGCTTTGTTTCGAACAGGGGGGTCTGGAGAAAGATATGGAAACTTCATGTGCCTTAGAGATGCAAGACTTTCTTGTGGTTATGTGCTAGAGGACGGTTGTTGACGAACGGTGCCAAAATGGAGAGAGGAATGGTACATAGTAATAAGTGTGTTTTCTGTGAGAATGTAAAGGAAGATACTTTGCATGCTCTGAGAGACTGTAGCCTCGCGTCACCATGCTGGGAGAGAACTGTGCCTAGACAACTACGTGAGAAGTTTTTCCGTCTTGATGATGCTGTACGTTGGTTACTATGGAACCTGTCTCAAACTGAGAAGTACTCTGGGGTCACGTGGAGCACTTGGTTTGCCATCTTGTGTAGACAGGTGTGGTTGAATAGGAATGAAGGAGTTTTCCAGGATAAGGCGATAGGGCCGCAAGGGGTAATATGCAAAGCAAGGGCACAAACAGTTTGGGCAGATGCGGGACTCTGTCAGTTGGATCTAGAGCAGTCTGGTACAAAAGGGTGGCAGGCTCCTTGTGTGGGCTGGATCAAGTTCAATGTAGATGGTGCTTGCTCATTAGCTGGGAACAGGACAGCTTGTGGTGGTATTGCGCGTAGGACTGATGGAA